AACTCAATAAGTACATAAAAAAATATTTTATTAGTGTTTTGGAAAAATTCTCGAGATAAGCTACAAGAATATCTAATAAAAATAGAGGGTTTGTTTAATAAAAAGTTGATCTTGAAATGACCTCTAAATTTGACCCCTACGTCAAAGTAATAAGGTCACCATAAAATATCTTATTTTCCTAGAAACAATTTTTATATATAACAATATAAAATTATATAGAAATATATAAAATTATACATATAATTGCAAAATTAATATGAATATGTCTATATATAATTAGATAAAAGAGCTTTTTATATACATATACTTCTTATATATATATATATATATTATATATATATATATATATATAGATTATATATATAATAAATAAGTATTCACATATATAAATATATATAATGTTTCATATATAACTTGACATGAGATTATACATGAACTTCATATTTATATATAAATAAATTTAATTATATATAAAATGAACATATTTCACATATATTATGTATATTATATAATTATTTAGATATAATTAATATATAAAAAATTTTTCCCGGGTTGAACCCTGCAATTTTTTATATTTATTCATAAGACCACTATTTCTTGGACATAATTGACCGTTGCCGGACTTTTGAACCACCTTGTATATATATATATATATATATATATATATATATATGGTAGATTGTATATTCCTTTGAAAAATACATGAAAATATGCATATATCATCAAAATATATAAAAGAGCAATATTGAAATTGTGTTCAACTACAGGTATGTCATAAAGAGACACATTTATATATGTATGTTTTACTGTCATTGACGCTTAGATGCGTGTGCGAGATGATTCGACAGTAAAAATATATTATATTGTCTGATTTCAATATGTTGAACACACTAAAATAGCTTTTTGACATATATGGATTATTATCGATAATAGCGGAATTAAAATTATCGATAATTATCGACAATTTTAGTTCCACTCAAATGAGGGCGCTAACCCGTCGGAGTTCGGCCAACGCTCCGGCATCCCCTTAATATAATATACAATGTTAATCGAGACAACCATAATCAACATCGCGGAAAATCAGCAACAATATTAGCGATAATCGACTTTGCATGCCTTTTTTAGAAAGACATTCGTGGCTGATTTAATACTTTAATTGATACTTAAATAATTCTAACACTAAAGGAAATGCTGTACAAAGTAAGGAGTCGCGAATATTAATTTTCATTAAAAATAATTAATATGAATAAAATAAATAGATGTTAAAATAATGTTAAAATAAATAAAATAGATGCTAAATTCATGTTAAAATAAATAGAATTACTAGGAACTGAGATAATTATTAAAATTATAAAATCAAAATAATTATTATGATAAAATTATCGAAAACGACGAGTATATTACGAGATATCACCATATTTTTTGTGAAAATGATTTTCGAAATAAGTAATATAAATGTGTAAATAATGCATATTTATTTGTTATGTATATATATATATATATATATATGACAAATAAATATGCATTATTTACAAATTTATATTAATTATTACTTATATTAATTATTTTTAATGAAAATTAATATTTGCGACTCCTTTCTTTGTACAGCATTTTCTTTAGTGTTAGAATTATTTAAGTATCAATTATTATATATATATACATACATATATATATATATATATATATATATATGTTTAAAAATAATTTGACTTACCCAATATTTCGAAACAGAATGTTAACTGAAAAATAATAGATTAAAACTATATTGTTTTAAAAATTATCAGCAGCCAATTAATGCTTTAGCAGTATGCAATATTCGAAGAAAATAATTATTCACATACACTTTATTACAATCATTATATGTACCACGATACGATTTGAAAGACCACGAAAGACTGACTGCGCTGTACGTGTCCTTATGATAAATATAATGTGTGTGTGTGTGTGTGTGTGTGTGTGTGTGTGTGTGTGTGTGTGTGTGTGTGTACCCTTCGCGCGGGCCGAAAAGCTAGTATATATATATATATATACACATAAGGACATCAGAAGTTTTGTTGACATAACACATTCTATTTATCATGATGACAAGTACAGAGAATCAGTCAGTCTTTCGTGATCTTTCGAACCATATCATGGTAGATATAATAATTCTAATAAAGTGTGTGTGAATAATTATATTCTTTGACCATTGCATATTACTAAAGCATTAATTTGCTGCAGTAATTTAAAATATATATAATTTTGCAGTTAACATACTGTTTCAAAATATTAGGTAAGTCAAAATAAGTTAAAAATATAAAAACATATATTTGTCTACAAATACAAAAAAAATTTAATTGTACAGTATAACGGAATTTTAAAGAATGTCCAACATATTATTATAAATAGAATAGTTTTATTCAAAATTATCTTCAAATTTCAATTCAGAGGTAATTTCAAATAATGCCGATATTATAATATTTTATAAATTGTAATGTTGAAATAATCGTGGACCCACAAAAGTTTGATAGACGAATAAATTATTTCTGAATCTTAAAAATACTATAATTTACATAACACATAATAAGTCTTATAATTGATATTTTTAATTGTCCTTTTATAACTAAATTATTAACATTCTATTTTCTACAATTTATCTGTGTAGTTATTTTTTTATAAAAAAAATATTTAAGAGTATTTAAAATTAAAAATAACTTTTAAGTTTTGTTGAGAGATATTGAATGAAATATTTTTAACAAAAACCAAAAATCAAATATTAATTTTTGATAATATAAGTATGCTGTCTTCTAAGCTGGGCAATAGAGCCAAGGAAACGAAACGAAAAATTAATTAAACGGAACTGTATCTCAATTTGAGATCCCAAAGTTCCACATATAAATTAATTTCGAAACTTACATATGGAGAAATAAGCGAGAAAAATATAGGTCCGAAAAGTCGCTGAAGCGGGAATATGTCCATATGTAAGTTTCGAAATAATTTATATGTGGAACTTTGGGATCTCAAATTGAGATACAGTTCCGTTTAATTAATTTTTCGTTTCGTTTCCTTGGCTCTATTGCCCAGCTTAGAAGACAGCATACTTATATTATTTATATTGAGAGCCGATAAAAATATTTTTTTCTGAGTTTATTCACGTCTTGGGCTAATCACGGCGGTATTTACTAACATCTACTAAAAAGGCAAATGAAAAATATAGGATCGAAAGGGTCTGAATAGCTTAGTTGGTAAGAGCAGTCGCCCGGAAAGTGAAAGACGCCGGTTCGTTTCCCGCTTCAGCGACTTTTCGGACCTATATTTTTCTCGCTTATTTCTCCATATGTAAGTTTCGAAATTAATTTATATGTGGAACTTTGGGATCTCAAATTGAGATACAGTTCCGTTTAATTAATTTTTCGTTTCGTTTCCTTGGCTCTATTGTCCAGCTTAGAAGACAGCATACTTATATTATTTATATTGAGAGCCGATAAAAATATTTTTTTTTGAGTTAATTTTTGATGTTGAAGATTATTTATATAATTAAGAAAAATAAAAATATAACAATTAACTTTTAATACATATACAACATATATACAACAATATATATATACAACACTGAACAATATATATCAATATATACACAACACTAAAATACATACATACATATATATATATATATATATATATATATATAATTTTATTTTAAAAAAGTGTGCAGAATAAAAATTTGCACATTATTTCCTTACCATATATAGTATTTTACAAATTATAATAATTTTTTAATTAATAATTTTAATACTTTTTGTATTTATGTTTTTGTTTTTATTTATATACAAGAACATTATACATTTAAAAAATCTAAGCTGTATTTAATTTCTTTATTTATCTTTTGTCTACAGTGTTTTACAGATCTGAAATAAATATTCCTTTTCTTCGACATAATGATATTCCTAAAACTATTATTAAGTAGCGGATTAATTTTTACTGCTGTGACGGCTTTCATTCGCAATGAATCTTTGTGCTATCGACCATCAAGTAATATAAAACCAATGCATTACGATATCAAACTTACCTCATTTATTGAAGGAAATATTTTCCAAGGAGAATACAATATCAGCATAAACATTCTTGACAAAACGCAAGACATATATTTACATTCAGAAAAATTATGTATTAAAAATATAGTTTTAATTACAAATTTGAAAAAATATGAGAATGATAAAGATACAGTTTATAAACCGACATATAATACTAAAAAAGACCCAATTAAAATATCCTTTCTGGATAAGTTATCACCTGGCAATTACACTTTAAATATAAAATATTTTGGCTTTGCTGCTAATGGTTTCAGAATTTTCAACGTGAAAAACAAAACTGTGTAAGTAAATAATACATGTTTATTAAAAAGTGTACAATATGCAATTACATAAGACATTAATTAATATACCACTTATGTATTAAATATTCCAAAAATTATTGTATAAATCGCGGTATTTAAATCTAATAAATGTAAATCTTTACCTTTATTATTACGATAATATATAATAAAGTTAAAAAATATAATGTGTTGACGCATATAACATTTAAACATTCTTAATTCTCAATATTTTTATGCTTATTAAAAAAGTTTCATTAATTTATGTTCTTTGAATTGTAGTTGGATAGGTGCTCTGCATTTCCAGATAATAGGCGATCGACAAGCGTTTCCATGTTGGCATACAAATAATTTATCGTTAGAAGCAACCTTTAACATTTCTTTAGGATGTCACAACTGCACGAGTTTATCAAATATGCCATTGCGAAATACGGAAAGAGATAAGTACAAATTGGAATGGAAACACTACACTACCACACCTGTAATGTTAACTCATCATGCAAGAATGGTTATGTCTAATTACCTAGTCCTTCTTGATTTCAAAACTCAAAACATTAAAATGTGGTGCAGATTTGAAAATCAATTTTACATGGAATTTGCAAAAAATGTAACTGAAAATATCACGTTGCATTTTCAACATACATGGAAACGTTCGGACAAAATTTGGAACGTGAATCATGTTGTAATTCCAAATTTCTCTGACAAAAACATAACAGTTCTCGGACTTGTTTTTTATAGGTGAGTACAAGTGCTTCAACTTACATTAATAATAAAATTATATTTGTATGTAAAATTATAGAATTTAAAAACATGCATGTCTTTTGTTTCTGTAAACGTTCAAAATAAGGAATTACAAAAACAACAATTTTAGAATCCGTATTATTCTACAAAGTTAAACTTTACCATAACAAAGTTGTCAGTTGATATTAAAAAATATAAAAAACTTTATTTGAACGGAGCGAGAAATAAATAAGAAGTGATCATTTATTCGCATTTTAACGAAATAATATATACATAAGAAATACACATTAGAGCGAACGTTTCGGCTGACATTTCGAGCCTTCCTCAGCGCAATACAAATATTATATAAATTGAAATGTAATATTGATTGTAATATTGTTCATTTGGGATTGAGAGTTGAGACGGTAAAAACGTTCTGTCTTTAGTAAACTTTTGTTTTTGGAAAAAACTGTGTCTATAAGATTTCGTATCTGATACTTGTAACTTCTATAAAATAATCGCCAATTTTATTTGAATCTCCATTTAATGTCTAACAACATTTTAATATGACGATTCAATCAAGATATCACCCTTGACCAATAAATTAGGAAGCCTATACACATAGTGATTACATGGCACTGTCGCTCGATCTCAGTATGTATCAAAAATTTGCACTTGTCACACGCGATGACTTGTTTAGAAACATATGTAATGAGACAAAAAACTGACTTTTTATTATCTTGACATCGTTAATTGCCGTTTTTAATGTTCAATATTACATTTCAATTTATATAATATTTGTATTGCGCTGAGGAAAGCTCGAAATGTCAGTCGAAACGTTCGCTCTAATGTGTATTTCTTATGTATATATTATTTCGTTAAAATGCGAATAAATGATCACTTCTTATTTATTTCTCGCTCCGTTCAAATAAAGTTTTTTATATTTTTTAATATCAACTGACAACTTTGTTATGTTTAATAGCTCTTATAGCCCTTCTTTGTTTACAATTAATAATTTAACAGAGCTAATTACTAATTTTATTAAAGTTTACCGTTTTAATACGTATATAAAGAGTAGAGTATGTATGCTAAATTGTATCTAAGGTAGGTATTAAAACTGCAATAAAGCTATAAAAGAAATGACATTTTTTTATTTATTTCAAACTATAGTTTTTTGTCAACAATATTCACATTCATCATTAACAGAAATTTATCGTTGTTTTATATTGTAAATTAAAAAATAGAATATTATTTTGTACGATTTACAATACTGATTTGCTACATTGTACTTACGAGTTTGTAAATTGTACATCTAGCAATTAAATTAAATTAATCTAACAAAAATAAAGTAGTATTTTCTATAAAAGTTCTCATTCTTAACATTTAAATATAACTTTCAGGGAAACAGATATTATCTACAATAAAAATGTATATCCTATTGCTAACAAAATCGAAGTAACTCAATCAGTAGGACGTAAAGTTACACAGGAATGGTTTAATAACATGATGAGCAATCCACTTGTGTCGGATTTTTGGTTTAAAAAAGGTTTTACTACATTGCTTGCAACGTATACTGTCAATAAGGTTATTCTAAATATTTTCAATGCTATCTCGCTCCCAACTTCTTGCAAATGATATAATACTTAAGCATTTATATTGCAAGATTTTCCTAAATCAAACCCTTTTTACATAATCTACATATACGCACTCTTTGTGAATCGTCTTAAAAACGTTTAGCATTATATAAAATAAACAACTGTTTTTTGAAAAATATTTTTTTCACATATTTACATACATAAAATTATTGTTTAATTTTTAAAACAATTTTTAATTTTTAACACCATTTTATTAGATATTATTAAATTTTGATAAAATCTCAAATGAAATAAAATAATCAAAAGCTAGTACACATAATATTTATTTTCAAAAATTTGTTAACAATAAGCCTGCAATATAATATCATGAGACAATAATTTAAAAAATATGTAATGTTTGCTAATTATATTAATACTAAATTTTAGATTATATTATATTTATTTTAATGTGCGCTCTGCAAAATGAGTGTTACGTTTTAAAAATGAAATAACGTTAATAATATTAATATTTGTTTTTAATTCAAGTATTTTAAGAACGGGTATATTGATATATTAATAATTTTTTTCTATAGATTTATCCTGATTATCAAATAATAAATTTATTTGTTGTTCAAAATCAACATTACTCTTTTAATTTGGATAGTTATTATATGTGGCCTTCTACTTCAAAATTTAACAGTTTATCAGAAATTCCAAATTCTATCAGAGGTATACGAAATATAATAAAATAATCCTCGTAAATTTTCAATTATTAATATTTTAAAATATGTGTAAAGTTAAAAGATAATTAATTCTTTATTGGATTTTAATTAAATATTATTTTTATAAAAGTACACACACCCACACACACACATACACACACGCATGCACAAAATGTCCGGTAATAGCCGCACATATGTAGATAGAGGGAATTAATTAAATGGTTCTTCAAAGATTTGCTATAAATAAAATGATAAACGGTGCGGCAATAAAAAACATTTCACTTTTACGCAATTATTACGCTGTATACCTCAGTGAGAAATGATGGTCAAATCGATGTCGATTCGTTGTCGAATCAATGTCAAATTAGTCGAACGGATGTCGAATCGATGACGATTCGATCAATCATTTCTCACTGGGACATATACATATACAATATATAATTTTCCTTTAAAAATCGTTATGTTTACAAGTAACCATTAAAGTAAATATATATTTATAATATATCTAATTCATAATTTTGATGTAAATCGTAGCACCCTTTATACTGCGCATGATGCAACACGTCCTCACAGAAGAAATATTTCAGAAAGGCATAAGGAGATATATACATCTCAAGTAAGTAATACAATATAGAATATAATATAAAAAGTATAAAATTGTACAACGTAAATATTGTATAATAGAAGTTTTATATGATGTCCTTTATTTCCTTTGGTTTCTTCTGACTTTATTTCATAATGTTTTTTTCTTACAATTAGTGTTCCGCTATTCCGCTATTTTTCTAGATCTTCTATTAGAATGCTTTTTAATTTCATTACTTTTCCTATGAAAAACGTTTCTGTAAGAAGAAATTGTTGTTTCATCGTTATCACTTGTTAATATACTTTTTCATTGTTGTTTATTTTTGTTATATGATTTGTTATTTTTTTAAATTATTTTAAAAATTATTTTTATTCTTTTTATTTCCTTTATTTCCTTATATCATCTATAATTTTTATAATATCTGTTTTTTTAATTGCATTTTGTGCTACATTTGTCTTCTAATTTTATTTAACAGGTTTTTAAATATACAACACTTATACCTCTTTTCCATTACTTTTTATGTTTTTATTTTCTTCTCCCGTAAAACGATCTCCATTATATTATTTTTCTTATATTTGTTATGTCTTCAACTTTTTATTTATTTTATTTCTTCTTTTAATCATTTTATACTCTCTCAATACTTTATTCAAATATAATCTGCTTTAATGCTAATAATGCTTAAAAAAATTAAATAAAATTATTAAATTTTATTTAAAATTGTCATCTTTTTTATTATCAGAATATAAGATAATATAAATATACAAATATAGAAGTCCAATTTTATATTTTATTTCTTAGTATTTATTAAAATTTTTTATAATATTAACATTATACAGACAATATTAACATGTTTGTAATGTTCTTTAATATATTTTACATATTATATTTAATATATTTTAATATATTTTATATACTTTGTGAATTTAGCGTACATTATATAGACTTTGTGGAACATATGAGACAAACTGCTTCAAGAATAAATCCATTAGTAGATATAGGTAGTATGGATAATTGGGCTTCGGAAAAGCATTGTCCTATTGTTAAAGTAGTACGAAATTATAGGAATCCTATAAGCCAAACAAAAGTATGGATACAATATATCGACTTATTAAAAAATCGCTGTATTCCTGTAACTTTTACTACGCAAGAGTTTCCCGATTTTAACAATTTTACTCATCATTTGCTATGTCAATCTATAAGAGAGTCACGGGATTTTGAATTATCATTACCATTTAAAGAAAATGGTTGGATGATATTCAATATACAACAAATTGGTAAATATCGACTAATGGATTGCCTATTAAGACTTATTTCTCATCATCATTTTACACACACATAATTTACATTATTTTATATTTTTATTTATTTTCATTCATTGTTCTATAAAAATCTGAGATTCATTATACAATAACTATAATAGCTTTAAAATGTTTTGTGTACTTTATATTTTGCATTATTACATATATATATATATATATATATATATATGTATGTATATTTAAGATATACATAAGCATTTCGTAAATAATATTATTCAATATTAATATTATATTTTTACAAATATTTTATTTCAATAATATTAAAAATTGTTATAAAGTAATTATATTTATAAAATTAATGATAAGTGCAAGTAACATACAATTTTCGTAACGTTAATGTAATAGAAAATTATATTGATTAGTATAAAATAATTTTTATTTATGCACAACTAGAATCAATTTTGTTTTATTATATTCAACAATATCTTGTACAATTTTATTTTTTCTACTATTTCAAATATTAGGATGACACTTTTATAATTAATTTTCTAATATTTACATTTTACTTATACATATGTACTAAATTTTAGATACGTTATTAATTTATAATTTATATAAGCAAAAGTATGAAATCAAAGTGTTTTAAAATAAATACATTACGATAAAATTATTCAAAATAATAAATAATTAATAAGTAATATTTATTTAACTAAAATTTATTTACTATTCGACAGGATATTACCGCGTGAACTATGATGACGAGAATTGGCAAAGAATTATAAACTATCTACATTCTAGTAATTACAAGAAAATTCATGTTCTTAATCGTGCCCAAATTATCGATGATGCATTTTATTTAATGATAACAGGTCATATCAAAACCTCTATATTTTTGAATATCATGCCCTATTTGTCTGAAGAAGAAGATTATATAGCATGGTATCCTATGTTTAAAGCTCTGGAATACATGTTTGGTACTTTTTCTGTAATCATACTGGAAACAATATTTAAGGATTTTACGGTAAATATTAATAAGTAAATTAAATTCAATAAAAGTGTTACATTTCAGATATTTGCATATAGATATTGCTCTTATTCATCACAAAAAATGTTAATACTCATTCTCAGAAAAATATACTCAGCAATGATAAAATTTTACATACTACTACGTTGCAACTAAATGTGCAAACAAATTAAGTTTGTATAATCACTCACGCGAAGAACGGTCTCCAAAATGTATGATTTTCACTACTGCCAATATTATTAGTATATAACATTGTTGGATATATAACTATATGTGCTTCAAATCTTTGTCAATGAATGCAATTATATTGGCTGCATATAAATATTACATATTGGTAATTTTTAAATAAATAAAGCATTTATGTAGTTGGAAAAATTTAATTATATAATAAAATTTAATTATATATAAAAATTTAATTTCTAATATAGAACAAGGTTTATATTAGCCAGAGTACTTCTAAATATCAAATATGAAGAAATTGATGATACAGACAAACTTAGAAACTGATAAATTTAATTATATATAATAATTTAATTATATTTAAAACAATATATTTTGTTACCTTGTCTAAAAATAAAATAGGATTGATAAATAGTTATAAAACTTCATTATCTTTTAAATATTATAAACATTTTGCACAAATTAAACCATATTTTTCTATACATGAATTTTTATTTAAACGTATGTACATGCATAGATAAACGTTCGCATTTATAAGTGAATTTGTCGGTATCTTTGTTTAAAAAATAGATAAATTTTTAAAAATCTGTTAGGAAATATAAGAAAAAAATTTTTTAATTACAATTATAAAATAAACGAAAAAATATATATTTAACGATTTATAGAGTAGAGCATGGTTTATATTAGCCGGAATACTTCTAAAAATCAAATATGAAGAAATTGATGATACAGACAAACTTAGAAACTGTTTACGACAAGAAGCTGCAAAATGGGCATGTGTTCTTGATGACATTACTTGTAAGGAAGTAGCCAACAAGAAATTAAAACAACATCTCCAAGATCCTACAAAACACAAGTAAATATTGTTACATATTTTTAGCCTTTCTTAATCAAATTTTCTTACAGATATCGCTAATAATGCTCAAATGATTTAATCAAAAAATCCATATGCTAAGCTTTAATAAGAAAATTTAATTTTTTTTCTATTGTAGACTTTTGCCATGGTGGAAGGAATGGACATATTGTAAAGGTTTGAAAATAACTACCAAAAACGAGACCACATGGGAATTAATGCACACTATAGGATTGGAAAAATCTGACACTAAATTTTTTGAATATTTGGCTTGCCCTGAAGATATTAATCTCATCAAAAAGTATTTAGACGATATAAGATATAAACAGTACAATTCTACAGAACAGAAATATCAATATCATCTTAATGGTTTTTTCCATATTATTACGAAGCATGCGAAGAATCAAATTATACTGGACTACATATTAGATCATTTTAACGAAATAAGACCAAAGTAATGTAACATATTTTTATCAATATTTTGTACAAAAATTTATTATATATATTATATATACATCTGTTTTTTGTTTTTAGAAATGTTCATTTAACTGCAGCAATAATTATTATTATTAATAACGTATATTTCGAAAATCAAACTCAGGTAAAATTTTACGTGCTTAAATATGTATACAAAATGTGATGATAATGCGATATTAACAATTATTATTTAATGTTTTAAATAATTTTAATAATGTTAGAAAAATAATACATTTTAGCAAATATTATACAAGGATGAATATTTTATAGAAACTAACTTAGTTGAAATAAATAACACAGGAGATAGATTTAGAAGACATCAAATGAAGGAGGTAAATTTAATAAATATTATTATGAAAAGAGAAAGAAAAAACATTTTGTTCTATCTTTTTAATTTTTGAATATTATGTTTGTATTAATTGTTATATAAACAGTATATTGATTCATTGTGGAAATCTTTGTTAATATATATTAGATTTTCATAATGCAAAATGAGATTACTATTTATTTATTTATATTATAATTAACAAAATGATTTGTTTTAGATGAGTGACACTGTGATAGATAAAAGTTACTTTTATTACAGATATGAACAAAAGATAGTAACTCGCAACAATGAAATCAAAAACACAAACATTATTTTAAATATGATTAAATATATTATTAAGGATTGTTGAGATAATTATTAAAATTATAAAATTTAGAAAATTATTAATATAAAATTATCAAATAAGCGATGAGCATATTACGAGATATAACACCATTATTTTGTGAAAATTTTTTTTCGAAATAAGTAATATAAATTTGTAAAATAATGCATTTGATTAATTTATTTGATTAATTAAGTAAATTTTGAATGTGCTTAATTACGATAATTGTTACACACAAATGCCGCCAAACACATTCACACGCGTACACACTTATTTATGTATATATATTACGACCTCAGAAGTTTTGTTGACCTACCACATCATATTTATCATGATGACATGTACAGAGAATCAGTCAGTCTTTCGTGGTCTTTTGAACCGTATTGTGGTAGATATAATAATTCTTATAAAGTGTGTGGGAATAATTATATTCTTCGACCATTGTATACTGCTAAAGCATTAATTTGCTGCAGTAATTTAAAATATATATAATTTTCATCCATATAATTTTGTAGTTAACATACTGTTCCATAATATTAGGTAAGTCAAAATAAGTTAAAAATATAAAAACATATATTTGTCTACAAATACAATAAAAATTTAATTGTACAGTATAACAGAATTTTAAAAAATGTCCAACATATTAGTATAAATAAAATAGTTTTATTCAAAATTATCTTTAAATTTTAATCCAGATATAATTTCAAATAATGCCGATATATAATATTTAATGAATTATAATGTTGAAATAATCGTGGCCCCCTCAATATTTCATACCGAATAAATTATTTCTGAAACTTAAAAATGCTATAATTTACATAACAAATACTAAATATTATAGACACTTTTAATTGTTCTTTCATTATTAGATTATTAAGATTATGTTCTCTACAATTCGTCGTATTTATTTTTTATCAATAAAACTGTGTGTATTTTAATATTTAAAATAATTTTAAGTTGTGCTGACATTGAGTAAAAAATAACTGTTACAAGAAAAAAAAATCAAATATTAATTCTATTGTCAAAGGTAGAGTATATAATAAAAAAAATTAAAAATAGAACAATTGCTTTGAATTTGTATTCGATAAATCTTCTTAAAAAGGCAATGTATTATAACAAGCGTGAACAAATTAATTTTATTAAGTAAGATATAAATATAAATATAACACTTCAAAATAAATAGAATTATATTAATCATATAAATCAAAATAGACAGAATATTATATATTTTATAATTTTTATAAAATTTATTATAAAACTTTTTATATAAAATATTTTAATAACTAAGATTAAATCACGGCACTGTAATATATTAAATACAAATAAGAAAGGCTTAAAGAGCCATACACATACGCAAAAAACTATTTATTTTTAATCGCTTATAACTCGAAAATTATTGGTACTCCGATATTGTTCGTTGAAAAAAAATTGTTTCCAAAAAATCACAAGTATCTGCTTTAACAAGTTCACTGCTAGTTCTGGGACATTTTATATAATATTTATTATCAAGTTTATAATTGGTACAATTTAAAATTGAAATTATGTTGGCTTTATTTTTGGTGAATGTTCGTTTAGAGTTTATAATGCCCAATTTAAGAGACTAAATCAAACAGACCTTCAAAAGAATATAATAATAAACATGTGCTCCTTCTCTCTCGTCTCTCCTCAGTTTTTCTTGTCCCTACTGTCTTCTTCCTATTTTGAATGTAAACACAGGTATATATGTATTTAAAATAACGGCTCTTGTGTTTATATAAGTAATTTGCTTCAGCCAACTAACTTTATATACAATAAGTTTTTATAATTTAAACTCTATTTTATAAATTCTAAAAGTATATAATATATTGACAATGAGAATAATTATATAAAGAAATATAAACTATATTGCAAATTTAACTTTTGTTTATCGCTGTCAATTACAATATGTGTGACACTGAAATACACACACGCGCGCACGCATACGCACTCACACAGACGCACACATATATATCTATAATTTTATTTTAAAAAATTGTGCAAATAGAAATTTGCACATTGCTTCATTACCATATAATATTTTATTAATTAGAATAGTTTTTCAATTAATAATTTTATAACTCTTTTGTATTTAATTTTTGTTTATGTTTAAGAATTATTTAAAAATACATCAAAGCTATATTTAAGTTCTTTATTTATTATTTGTGCAGAGTGTTTTCCGGATCTAAAATAAATATTCCTTTTCTCCGACATGATAATAATTTTAAAACTATTGTTAAGTAGCGGAATAATTTTTACCGCTGCGACGGTTCTCATTCCTAATGAATTTCGATGCTATCAACCATCAAAATATGTGAAACCAATACATTACGATATCAAGCTTACATCACAAATTGAAAGTAATATTTTCTATGGAGAATACAATATCAGCATAAACATTCTTAACAAAATGCAACACATATATTTACAGTCAGAAAATTTATGTATTAACAACATAGTTTTATTTACAAATATTGGAAAAAATCATGAGAATGATAAAGATACAGTATATAAACCGTCATATAATAGTAGTGGAGACACAATTAATATTGTCTTTGGAGATGAATTATCACCAGGAAATTATATTTTAAATATAAAATATTTTGGTACAGTTGATAAAAGCTTCAGAAGTTTGAACGTGCCAAACAAATCAATGTAAGTAATAAATTTTTAATAAATGTTTATTAAAAGGTGTACAATATGCAATTACAAAAGACATTGTAATTAGTATATTATTTATGTATTAAATATCCAAAAAATTATTATATCGTGTAATTTAAATATAAAAGCGAACAATCTTTATCTATAGTACACACTATTACATATTACATTTACACATTTTTTAACTCCCAATATGTTTATGTATGCCAAAAATATTTCAATAATTTATTTTCTTTGAAATGTAGTTGGATAGCTGCTCTACATTTCCAGATAATAGACTTCCCACAAATAATTGATTGTTGGAATACCCAACATCTATTAGAAACAACCTTTAGCATATCTATAGGTTGTAAACTATGCACGGCTTTGTCAAATATGCCATTGCGAAATACGGAAATTATTAAGAAAAATATGTTTTGGACACACTTTCATACCACACCTGCAATGTCGCCTTATCTCGTAACAATGCTGGTGTCTAATGAGCTAACCATGGATAAAAACAGACCTCGAAAAATTAAAATATGGTGCAGGATCGAAACTGCACTTGACATAAAATTTGCAGAAAATATAGTTGGTCATATTACGTCAAATTTTGAAAGTCATTGGAAATATTCGAACAATACTTCGCACGTCACTCATGCTGCAATTCCAAATTTCCATGACAACGGCATCATGGTTTTCGGACTTGTTCTTTATAGGTGAGTAAGTGCTTCAAATTATGTTAAAAATATAATTATATTAGTATGCAAATTTATAAAGTATAAAAACATGTATACCTATATATTTTATTTCTGTAAACTTGCGACATTATGATACATTTTGAAGACAAACAATTTCATTAAGAATAAAAATTTAGTACGTACATAAAAGGGAACGTATGCACGCTAAATCGTACCCCCTAGAGTAAATGTTAGAATTGCCATAAAACTATAAAAAAATGAAATTTTATTTTTATTTAGATCTATAGTTCTGATCAATGATATACGCATTAACACAAATTTATCATTTTCTCATATTATAAATTAAAAATTTGAAAAAATATTATTTGGTACAATTTACAATACAGGTTTGCTAAATTGTACCCATGAGTTTGTAAATCGTAACTCTAACAATAAAATTAAAAAATTGTAAGAAAAGTAAAGTTTTATTTTTTAAATAACTTCTCAGTCTTGACATTCAAATACAACTTTCAGGGAAACAGATATCATCTACGATAAAAAATTATATCCTGTTGCTCACGAAATTCAAGTAATTCAATTAGTAGGACATAAAGTGGCACAGCAATGGTTTTATGATATGAACAATCCGTTTAATTCGACTGTTTGGTTTAATCAATATCTTACCACATTTCTTGCAATAGATGCTGTCGATAAGGTAATTCTATATTCAACGCTATTTTGCTTCCACTTTCTCGCAAACGATAACAAACATACATAAGCATTTATATTGCAAGATTTTCGTATATTAAATTCTTTTTACAAAATGCACATAAATTCTTTGTAAATTGTCTTAAAAATATTTACCATTATATGAAATTCTAAATTGTTTTTTAAAAAATACTTTTTTCACTTTGTTACATATGTATAATTATAATGTAAGGTATTAAAATTTTTTTATTTTTTAACAACACTTTATTAGATATTTTAAAAGTTTTATGTAATTTTAAATAAAATTAATTAATTAAAAATTAGTACACACACACGATATTTATTGAATTTGGTTTAATAAGAAGAACTCTGCTTTTTAATATCATGGGATAATAATTTTAAAAGTATGTAATGATTGCTAAATATATTAATAAAAAGTTTTAGATTTATTATTATATATTTATTCGCATGTATTTTTCAAAATGAGAAAGTGTTTCTTTCTAACATAGAAGTAGCGCTAATATAACATTAATATTTGTTTCTATTGCAAGTATTTTTCGAACGATTATCAATATCGATATACTTAATAATTTTTTTATAGATTTATACAGAATATCGAATAATGAATTTATTTGTTGTTCAAAATCAACATAATTCTTTTTCTTTGGATGGTGATTATCATATATGGAATTCTCCTATACAAGACGACAAATTCTTATTAAAAATTCGCGAATCTATCAGGGGTAAGATGTAATATAATAAAATAGTCCACGTAAATTTTTAAATATAAATATTATAAAAATATGTAAAAGTTATAAGATAATTAATTTTTTATTTGGATTGTAATAATATATTACAAATTATATAATATAATAATATATTATTAAAATTTTATAAATGTACACGCATACATACACACACACACACATACTCACACACATATGTACGTGCATACGTATTTATGTATATTATTTAATTAATATTTAAAGTATATTTACACACACACAAATACACAAACACAAACAATACAGATATTTGTATGTAATTTGCAACTAGAAGCTTCATAGTTTTCCTTAAAAACTATATTATTTTTATCGAAAATATCGACAATTCTCATTATTTTACATGTATGTACAAAATTATTGAGATGAAATTGTAAAAATATGAATATTTCTTGAGATATTATATTTACGTTTATATAAAATAACGTATTAAAGGTTTAAAATATCCTATAAGATTCTTTTTATAATTATCTTATCCTTACAATTTATTGTTTTGATAATGAATAATGCGAGAAATCGATTTATAAAAAATTAAGGTAGACTTATTTAAAAAATAGTAATTTTTAAATGACATAAAAATTGGCCCTTAGGAAAAAGTCAGTAGCGTTCGTTTGTTTTTCTTTAGAAATCATAACACTTATGCAACAATCATACAACTTTATTTAAAACGTTTTTCTTTAAAATAAATTATTCAAGAAATCATTGTTTAGGGATATTTGAAATAAAATAATTTGTGTACATGTATGTATATATTCTATGCATCAAAGTATTTAATTATAATTACTGAAAATTGAATATTTTGCAAAATATTTTACGTTTTGTCGAAATATTGTCAACTTCAAACCTTTATAATTCGAAAAGTATTTAATGAAAAATGTTTTATTATAGTGTTTTAGTTAGGTCTCAACATTAACTATAAGAATATGTAATACAAAATAGAGGATTCCAATTAAACTTTTAATGTTGACATTGACCGTGCTATTCAAGGTCATCTCGAAGTCAAAGAGTCATAATATCATCGAATAGTTTTTTCAAGTCCTACTCTTTTTGTTTGAAATATTTTTTTATTAAATCAATATTTTCTGAGATATTTTGCCGTTCCGGAACTTTTGCCCCTCTCTATATATTTTGTGTGTGTGTGTGTATTTATATAGATAAAGTGTACGGTAATAACCACGGATATGTAGGTAGAAAAAATTGAATGGTCCTTTAATGTTTTGCTATCTTCGTAAGAATTAACGAAAAATTTTATTTCACTGTTTCGCGCGATTACTATCCTGTATACATATAAAATATAATTTTTCTTTTCAAAATCATTATGTTTACATATAAACTTTAAAATAATTATATATTTATATTATTATATATCTAATTCATAATTTTGATGTAAATTATAGCACCTTTTATACTGCGCATGATGCTACACGCTTTCACCGAAGAAATATTTTGGAAAACCGTTCGCACACACTATGTATTTAGCAAGTAAGTAATATAATAAAAAATATAATAAAAAAAATAAAATTGTGTAAAACTATTATATTTAATTTTATTATTCTTACTACGAAACTGCTTTTGTAGAAAGAATTTGTTGTTTTATCGTTGTCACTATTTCATAATGTTGTATTTAATGAATGATATGGTTAGATCGCTTTTATTGTAAATAACAAAGATAGAGAATTTATTGCTGTGAGATCTCACAGTAATAGATTCTCGATCTTTGTTATATTTAATGTTGTTTTGTTTATCTTTGTTTCACGATTTGTCATTTTTGATAATAATTTATAAATTATTTTTATTTTACTATTTCCTTCATTTCTTTATATCATCTATAATGTTTATAATTTTTTTTTGTTTAATTGCATTTTGTGCTACATATGTTTTTTAATCTTATATTTAATAGGTTTTTGAATATCTAAGACATATCTTTTTTCCATTATTTCTCTATTTTTATTTTCGTCTTTCGTAAATCGATCTTTTTTATATTATTTTTGTTTTGTTACTTCTCATATGTTTTATCTATTTTTAATTATTTTATAATTCTCTCAATACTTTGCTCAAATAACATTTATATTATGCTAATGGCTAAATAACTTAACAAAATTATTAAATTTTATTTAAATTTTATTTAAAATTGTTATATTCTTTATTACTATAATATAAATATAAGATATATAAATATATAAATAGAAATGCAATTTTATATTTTACTTTATAGTATTTATTAAAATTGTTTACACTAATAACGTTATACAGACAATTTTAACATATTTGTTCTTTTATATATTTTACATACTATGTGAATTTAGGCGAAGTATGGGTCACTTTCTGGAAGAAATTATTACTGCTGTAAAAGAACATAGTGCTATGGATATAATCAATAAGTGGTATATGGAAAAGCATTGTCCTATTATAAAAATAATACGAGATCGTAAAGTTAATAATACGGATATTGTGACCGAAGTAAATGTATCGATACAATATACCGACACATTAAGCGTTTATTGCGTTTTTGTAACTTTTACTACGCAAACGTTTTCCGATTTTAACAATTTTACTCATCATAAGGTATGCACAGAAAAGGATTTGAAATTATCATTAAGATTTGAAGAAACTGGTTGGATAATATTCAATCTACAACAAATTGGTAAGTCGATGATGCATTTCATTTAATGATATCAACCAATGAACTTATTATGACTTATTTCTCGTCTTTATTGTACATACACATAATTGACATTATTTTATATTTTTTATTATTTTATTCATTGTCCTATAAAAATATAACTATAATAGTTTTAAAATAGTTTTTATGTAATACTCTGTATTATTATATATAATTAAAGTATACATCGGTGTTTTCTATTATAATATCAATCAATTTTGAAGTTATATTTTTGCAAATATTTTATTCTAATAACATTAAAATTATAAAAAAGTTAATTATATTTGTCAAATTAGTATAATAATTAGAACAAGTAAAACATACAATTTTCGTAAAGTTACACGTTACAGAAACTTTACTTACTAATCTAAAATAATTATTACATAATTTATGAACAACTAAAATCAATTTTATTTTATGCTATACAACAATATCTTGCACAATTTTTATTTTTTATTTCTAATTAATTTTCTACATGTATATTTATATTTATTTATATTTATTTATTTATATGTATTAAGTTTTTAATACGTTTTTGATTTATAATTTATATAAACAAAAATATGAAACCAAAATGTTTGAAAATAAATACATTACAATGATAAAATTATTCAAAATAATAAATATTTATAAAATTTATTTACTATTTGACAGGATATTATCGCGTTAACTATGATGTATGGAATTGGCGAAAAATTTCATATTATCTAAACTCCGATAATTACACAAAAATTCATGTTCTTAATCGTGCTCAAATGATCGATGATGCATTTCATTTAATGATAGGAGGCCAACTCGATTCATATGTATTCTGGGATATCATAAAGTATATGCATCGAGAAGAAGATTATATAGCTTGGTATCCTATGTTTAAAGCTCTGGAATATTTGTCCAATGCTTTTATAGTGTTGAAAGAAAACATTGAGAAGTTTACGGTAAACATTAATAAATTTCAATGAAAGTGTTATATTTCAGATATTTGCATATGTACATGCATTTACTACAAAAAGTTCAAATACTCAGTAAAATATATACTGCAACGATAAACTTTTACACACTATTAATTATGTCGCAAATAAATGTGCAAATAAATCCAGTTTGAATAATCACTCACGTGCAGAACAGGCCCTAAAGTGTATGATTATCACTACTGCTAATGTTATTGACATATATAACATTGTTTTTGGATATATAGCCAGATGCTTAAAAATATTTGTCAATGATTTATAATTAAACATTTCGCACAAATTTAATCAAATTTTTGATGAGGGCTCAAATTGTGTCGCGCGGTCCGAGTGATTATTGAAATTGTCCCGCGGATGCAACATTTTAGGGGATGTAATTCATAGTTCAGGAACATTCGCCCAAAAGTCACACTTGGGCGGGTGCAAAAATATTAATTAAACATAGAAATAAATATTTAACGATTTTTAGGAAACAATAAGCGATATATTGACGAATGTACTTAAAAAAATCAAATACAAAGAAATTGATGATACAGACAAACTTAGAATTTGTTTACGACAAGAAGCTGCAAAATGGGCATGTTTTTTGATGACATCACTTGTAAAGAAGAAGCCAACAAGAAATTAAAACAACATCTCCAAGATCCTATAAAACACAAGTAAATATTGTTACATACTTTTTGCATTTCTTAATCAAATTCTCTTGTATATATCGCCTATAATGTTCAAATGCAGATGCCGATGCCGATGCTAATCTTTAATAAGAAATTTAAATTTGTTATATGTTTTAGACTTTTGCCGTGGTGGAACGAATGGACATATTGTACGGGTTTGATGATAACGACTAAAAACGAGCCCACTTGGAAATCAGTGTTTGATAAAGGAGTGAATAAATCTGACACTAAATTTTTGAAATATTTGGCTTGCCCTGAAGATACTAATGTCATCATCCATTATTTAGAAAATAAACAATACCATTCTATAAAACGAAAATATCAATTTGATGTTAACAGTTTCTTACATATTATTACGAAGCATGCAAAGAATTCAACTATACTGAAATATATATTAGATTATTTTAACGAAATAAAACCAAAGTAATGTGACATATTTTTATAAATAATGTGTACAAAAATTAATTATATGTATTATATATACATCTGTTTTTTCTGTTTTTAGGGAGGTTGATATAATTGCAGCATTAACTATTATTATTAATAACGTATATTCCAAAATTTTAACTATGGTAAAAATTTTACATATTAAATACGTATACAAAATATGATAATAATGCAATATTAATAATTATTATTTAATGTTTAAAATAATTTTAATAGTGTTAAAAATTAATACATTTTAGCAAATATTAGAGAATGTTAGAGATATTTTAGACACTCACGTAGTTGAAATGAATAACGCAAAAAATTTATTTAAAAGACTTCAAATAAAAGAGGTAAATATAATAAATATTATTATGGAAAAAGAAAGAAAAAGAAATTTTGTTCTATTTTATTAATTTCTGAATAATATTTTTGTTTGTTTTAATTGTTATATAAACAGTATGTTAATTTTATTGTGGAAATCTTTGTTTATATATATTAAATTTTCATAATGCAAAATAAGATTACTATTTATTTAATGATATTATAATTAACAAAATGATTTGTTTTAGACAAGTAACAATTTGAGTGATAAGACTAATTTAAATTTCAAGTTTTATAACAAAATGGTCCAAAAGATATCAATTCGCAACAATCAAATCGACAGACAGAAACATTATTTTCAATATTTTCTCCTCTAATCGGTGGGTGTAAAAGAATATCAGCTTTGCATGGACATACTTCATGTGAATAATGTTTTTATATTGTACGTAGTATTTCTTTTAATGCTTTAATTATTGTTTATTTGGATGTATTACTATTCGATGCCTTTGTATTTACAAAACTTTATGCCTGCATGTATCACGTTTTTTATTTTTTTGCAAACGTGCATAAAGTAGTTGAATATATATTATTACCTGTGTAATTACAACAAAGAAGCCATATAATATTACTATAAATAAATATATATATATATATATATGTATAAATTTATATGTATTTCAAACTACATATCAACTTGTTTTTAATTTTTTTTACGTAAATTAATATGAAATATATGTTTACGCACACACACATACACACACACATGTATATATGTGTATATATACATATATATATATATATATATATATATGTATATAATATACACACCCTTACGTAAAGAAAACTACAAGAATATGAAAAAATTATTGGTATAACAATATATTACTAAGGATTTGTTGAAATAATTACTAAAATTATAAAATTTTAAAAATTATTAAAATAAAATTATAAAATAAGCGATGGGTATATTACGAGATAATACACCATTATTTTGTCAAAATTTTTTTTTAAATAAGTAATATAAATTTGTAAACAATGCATTTGATTAATTCATTTGATTAATTGAGCAAATTTTGAATGTGCTTAATTACGACAATTGTTACACACAAATGCCGCCAAACACACATACACACACGCACACACTTATTTATGTATATATATAACGACCTCAGAAGTTTTGTTGACCTACCACATCATATTCATCATGATGACAAGTACAGAGAATCAGTCAGTCTTTCGTGATCTTTCGAACCATATCGTGGTAGATATAATAATTTTAATAAAGTGTGTATGAATAATTATATTCTTTGACCGTACTGTTTAAGCAATTTGCTGCAGTAATTAAAAAAATATATAATTTTTATCAATATAATTTTGCAATTAACATACTGTTCCGAAATATAAGGTAAGTCAAAATAAGTTAAAAATATAAAAACATATTTCTCTACAAACACAAAAAAATTTAATTGTACAGCATAACGGAATTTTACAGAATTTTTAACATATTATTATAAATAGAATGGTCTTATTCAAAATTATCTTTAAATTTTAATCCAGAGATCATTTCAAATAATGCCGATATTATAATATTTAATGAATTGTAATGTTGAAATAATCGTGGACCCACAAAAGTTTTATAAAGAATATATTATTTCTGCAACTTAAAAATACTATAATTTATATAACAGATAATAATTTTTATAATAAACACTTTTAATTGTTTTTTCATTATTATAGATTATTATAATTTTATTTTCTCCATTTTTCGTACTTATTTTTTATAAAAAAGTATCTGTGCGCAATTTAATATTTAAAATAATTTTTATGTTGTATTGCCATTGAGTAGAATAACTTTAACAATAAAGGATAATCAAATATTAATTTAATTGAAAATTATGTATATATATATATAACAAAAATAAAAAATAGAACAATGCTTCCAATTTTAATTCGATATATCGTTTTATAAAAGCAATGTATTATAAAAAATAAAAACAAATAAATTTTAGTAAGTGTGAAATAAAATAACAATTAAAAATAAGTAGAATTATATTACTTAAAATACTCATTTATACTTATCTCACTCATATATAATTTAAAATAAACAAAATACTAAATATTCTACATAAAATATTTTACATAAAATGTTGTATATAAAACGCTCAAAACGTACGTTAATATTCAATTAGAAATGAATAAACAATAGTTCATAGCAATATAATAAGATACTCCATAAAAGTTGAAACGTTTTTAGATATTTAAATTAAATTTAATGATTAAAATTTAATTGTTACTTTTATAATTAAAAACAATAATTTACATGTATTAATGCATATATTGATGGTGAGAATATATATATAAAAATAATATCAAATAGAAAGATTAGATAAAATAAGCATTGATAAAATTTATAGCTTTAATACTTAAACTCATTGTCAGAATTAATTAAAAATTTTAATAATTATTTATTAATTATACATTATACAGTAAATTGATAGAACATGCTAATTGACAATCGAATGAAGAAATCTATAATATTATAAATTTGAAACAATTGTTAACACATCTATTTTAATGCGTATAATCTGAAATATCTGAGAAAACCCACTATATACAGGAATCCGAAAAATTGTAGTAAACCTGTTAATAGTAAATTTTTGAGATCATTTGGAGTTAATGTTTCCTCCGCGAAAATGTCGAAATAGACTAACATTATTTACATGATATAAATAATAATCCTTAAGGTTGCCAGTAATAATTAATAAAAAACCACTCCTCAATGTTTAAAGTCGACCAGACTGGCAATAATTTATTATAAATAATTATTTGAAATACAACAACGTTTCGGCTGTCATTGCAGCCCTTTTCAAGTACATCAAATTTAAAACAGTAAATCAACTTCTATGCAAACTACCGACAATGTTAACGCTTGTTTTGATGAACAATGCAAGACTGACAGAAGTAAGCACATATTAAATAGATGTTAACTGTTCGCAAGAATCTTAGTCACTTAGTGACTAAGTCTTTTTCTCATTTTGAATGTACACACACGTACGTATGTATGTAGAAAGAATGGCTCTTGTGTTTACAAAAGTAATTTACTTCAGGCAACTAATTTTATATACTATAAATCTTTATATTCCAAATAATATTCTATACATTTTAAATGTTTTGCATATTGTTTTCTGACCATATAATATTTCAATAATTAGAATGGTTTTTTACTTACAAGGGACATGTCACAACTGTCCGGAACCGATTTGATTCTCCTTGAAATATGTTGTTAAATACACAAATCTAAAAGACACGTATTTTTTTATACGTGCGCAATTTGAGTTTTAAGGGGTGAAACACCCCTTTAAAGAATAACGGTATTTTTCTTTAGGATCAAATATCTGCTAAACTATAAGAGATATAAAGAAAAAACGTACAACAAATTTTAATGGCTTGAAGAGTACTTTAAAGTTATATGAACAAAAATTTTTTTTTTTTTTTTTTTTTTTTAAAAACCCTCACCACCTAATTTTTTTTTTCAAAATTAAAAATTTTGTTTTACCTAATTTAAAGCTTATTTTTTTCCAAATTCAACCATGTGTAATAAAGTTATGTTACGAAATATCATTTTCGAAAATTAATTATAAACGCTCCCGTATATACGCTCATCCGTGCTATGTGCGTAAGTAATTACCGTCGAACAATAAAATATATAAAAAATGTTTTTGTATAATTCTTATTTATGTTTTCTATGTATTTATAACTGTGTATTGTGTATATTTAGATTTTTTTAAAAATGTATTTGCATTTTATATTATTCACTCATTATACACATTACAATAATGATATTCGACAAAAAAATGTTTCAAACATAATGACTTCTTGCACCAAGAACATCTTACTACAGCTATATTATTGCAACCTTCGATATCACATTTTGTTAAAGTTTCGTCTAAACTAAAGTGTACTGGATTTTCGAATTCGTCTGGTCTTTCATTCGTATAACCACTTTTAAACCACGAATATTTAAATAAGTTTTGATATCGTGGGGATGACAATTGATTATGTATCAAAGATTGCAATTTTATTATATTATTTCGTTCATGTAAGTTTATATTACTTTCCAACAGTAAAACCGCATCTGAAAATCTTTTAGCAAAATTTTTCCAAATTCTGAATCCATAAACATCTAATGGTTGTATTTTCCCTGTAGTTCCTTTCGGTATTATCATAGTAGTAATATGTGTTCCAGGAGGTGTTAAATCCGAAATCATATTGGGGCAATGTCCAGTCCATGAATCGATAAGAAGAACGCTATTAGGACCAATGTTTGCGAAATAAGCTTCTTCTAACCACATTTTAAAATGATCTGTACAAAATATAAATGTTAATTTAATAGTTTTTTTATGACTCTTATTAAATTGTTAAATAAAATAAGGTTGTTAAAAAAAGTAATTATAAAAGGAAAATACCTGATGTCATTTTACCAGATTTCGATGCTTTTACAATAACATTTTCTGCTTTAAATAAATTTTCTTGTACTCTTGGTCCAAATTTACCATTAGCTTCTTTTAATACAATAAATAAAGGGGACAACAAATTGCCATTACAGGATATTATTGGTTGTATCGTATATGAATGGGTTGTTGATGATATGGATTGCACGACACGTTCTACTTTCTTTTCTCCCTGGTTAGACAATGATCTTCCAGAGTGAAGTTCCAATTGGAAACCACTTTGATCTGAATTGTAAATATTTTCAGATCCAAACTGTTCAATAAGAGGTTTTACTGTTTCCAGAAAATCATCAGCTGATTTTTGCAAATCAGCAGAATCTTCTAATGTTCTTCTAGTGACAAACTTCGTAACTTTTCTTGAAACAATTCGGTGAGACTTCTTAAATCTTGCTATCCAACTGTGAGATGCTTTAAATATAGGATTTAAATTTCCTATTTCTTCTTGAGCTTGTAAAGCCCATCTTTTTAAATCAATATCATGAACCATGAATCCTGATTCGACAGCTGCAGTAAATTTATCATGTGTAAATTTGGAGATGTAAGATAATTTTTCTGTACGACTTCCACCTGATTGTATTTGTTCTTCCCATCGCCTTAACTGACGTTCAGATGAAACTCTTCTAAATTTATTTTGTACTACTCTTAGAGGACGATTCCTTTTTCTGTCATTACTGTTTTCATCAGTGTCCCGAAATCGCCAATACTCAACAGCTCGTCTTTTATAAGAACTATCAAAATTTGTATCATCATTTGAACAATGAGGATGAGAATTTAAACTATCTTCATGCCATGCTTCTTCGTCATCTTCAATTATTTCAAAACTATGTAATTTATAAGGTTCTTCATAATCGAGATATATTTCTTCCGTTACTTCCACCCCATTATAATGAAAAACGCTATCCAGTAATATTTTTTTAATGTTTTCCTTTAATTCCACTTCTGCTTCAGTTACTGGCGTTTCTGTTAAATATATTGAATTTATTGACACCAATAAAAGTCTAACAACGTTAAGCGGATTGATAATCATATTCAAAGATGTTATATTTTGCTTTCTATTGCAATAAAAGAACAGTTTACACAGATATTATTACAACGAAAAGAC